TATTTATAAAACCATGTAAAGGACTTTATTGGCTTTATTTAATGAGTGAGGTCTTATTGAAGTAGTAAATGTGTTACCTGCAGCAGACAGTCAAAGCGGTGTAAAACCCATGGAGATAATTTAAATTTTAATCATGTACTTCGGCTAAATGTCATTAACAAAAACAGTCAAATCTAAAATGCATTAACAACCACAACTTTAAAATATATTTAACAGCAGGGATCAAATATAGAACAGTGTAGGAATGGCACAAGAAGAAGTCGTCACACACAGGAAGAAGGTTCTGCTGCTCTTCCTCTTTTACAAAACTGAACTTCAACCATCATAAAAAGTTACAAAAATCCAGATATTTCCTCTGGAATCCTGTTAGCTCGTCTCGCTAACGAGAATCCTCCAGGATACAGCAAACAGAGAGGACCCTGGTAGCTGTCTGCTGCAGGTAAGATACTGACTGCTCATAAATCTGACTTTAAAAAGACCAAACTCTCTCTGTAAGATGCACTTGTGCAGCCGTTTTACAAATGAATGAGTGAAGCTTTGCAGGCGTTTGAAGCTCCAGACTCTGAGCAGCGTTCACTCGATACCCGACTGTCCATCTGGCTCGCACACAGAGCAGCGTTCAACATGCCCCGCTATTAGGCTGTCAGTCAGTCAGGCCAGTAGAATAAATGCCATGGATTAGGCGGACACGCTCGCAGCGGGAGGACGGACAGAATACTAAAGAGACGCAGGCCAGGAGGTGACAGACATCCCGTCATAAAGCTCTCTCTTCCTTTAAAAGGGCTGAGGAAACTCTTTCAGCCACTCAGACGATCGATAACAGTCAGACATAATCAACTTAGTGTCGTTTCTCTGGACCTGTCGCCATCATTTCCTACAAATATTCCCTCCTGACTTTTTTTTGGTTGGTTTTTCTCCTCTTTTGCGACAGGAGTGATGAACGACGCAGCCTCGTCCTTTCACCTCCTCTCTGTTATTCATCTCCATGACCTCGTCCCGTCTTTTCCTCTCTCCTTTTCTTTCACCCAGGGGCAGAGCCAGGGGGGTGGCCAGGGGTGGCCATGGCCACCACAGACAAATCTTTGGCCACCCTGCTGTCCACACCCCTTCCACAGTGAAACAACCTTTAGGGCTGTAGTAACCCTCCTGAACAGTTGGTGGCAGTGTTTAACAGTTTGAAACATCACCAAGTTCAAAGAAGTGACAAAATGTGATTGTTTTATGTTATCTGACTTATGGTGACAAATGTTTGTTTTTTGTCATCATAACACAGTGTCATTTTCTGTTATGAAGGCTGAATGATGCTCTGTCCCTTTTGGTCATGAGTAGACTTGTGACTAAATCAGAAAAAGTGAAATGCCCCTTTAAATTCACTGTTGGTGAGGATCAGTATTGCACCTGTTCATTTGGGTACAATTATAAATATTAGTTTAATACAAGCAGTTGAAGGTCATTATTTGGCACAATGACATGTTACATTAAAAATAAATCAAACAATAAAAAGTAAAAAGCACCCCTAAAGTCATTGGATATGATAAATAGTGTCACATTAATTAATCTTATCTCAGCTGTAGCAGTGAGTTTAAAAACAGGATGATGAAACCAGTTTAATGAAGAATCTGTCTCTGAAATTATTATTAAATCAAGTGTTTATGTAGGTAAAAGTATGTAAAACAACCTGGTAAAATACACCAGAATGCAGGAAATCGCATCTATTTCATTCAAAATTTTCTGGGGGAGGAACCCCTAGACCCCCCAACAGTGTGTCCCCCACTTTTAAAATGGTTCTGACACCATGTTTATAAGATCACTGCCTGTATGAGGACGTAAGAAAATGATCAAAACACAAAGATCTGCAGAAACTTTTAAGTTAAAAATGATGTAATTTTCTTGGCCACCCCTGTGTGAGTAGTGGGCCCCGGCCACCCCTGTGTGAGTAGTGGGCC